CCATATACTATCTCAAATTGTTTATAGAATGATTTCCATAATTGATTCAGTTTAATCCACTGATATTTACTGAGCGTCTATTAAACGGAACGATGTGACATGGCTGATATTTGATCATTTTTGTCATAAAGTTGACAATGTCACATGAGTCAACCCAATAAGCCTCACACACTTTGGTGAGTCTAAAACTTCAACAGTGGGGGGTGGGGGGCGGGGAGGGGAGGGATTGGGGTCAAAATAAGGGGGTTGCAATTGTATGGGGAATATAAAAATAAAATTTATTTTAAAAAAATTAAAAAAAAAAAAGAATAAATAAATAAATAAATAAAACTTCAACAGTAAAGCCATGGACACATCTGTGGGGGAGGTCAGTGGAACCAGGTCTAAATCCAGAGAAACCCACTCACGCGCAGGCTGGATCAGCCCAGCGCAGTTTGCTGGAGGTCGGTCAATAGGCCGGGGTCAGTATTTGAAGAGAAAGTTGGCCCATAATCTAAAAACAGCCTGAGAAAAGGGGGCATATAAATAGTTATTCTCCCTTTCTGGAAGAGGGGTAGTAAAGAAAAATTGTTGAAAGAACCTGCCAAGTACATTCTGATGCCCTGTCTCTGGCAGGGAGGCGGTAGAACGAAACAATAAAGGTGAGTTTAGATGATCCTGGAGGGGCCAATGCAGGCGCGACTGACAAGAGACGGGAGAGGAAGGTGAACAAGAAGGCGCCGTCAGGAAGTAAAGGTAGTCGGGAGAGGCTAAGCCAAAGAGAACAATACAACGAATGATTCTTCTAAAATGCTCAATTGTATAATTAAGCTCCCACCCCCCAATTCATCTCTGATTTTCAAGAAAACTATTTAAAGCCAAAATAAATTGGGCTTTAAAATATCCTTCATTTCCTTTGAATAAAATTGCTTTAGAATATATTTAGCCATCTGCTCAAAATCACCTGTTTCCATTTTACACAAATCATTATTAAAATAGAATTTGCTTTGTTTCATCTCACATTCATAACTTCCACACACCCACACATAATAGTCTTCTCATCAGTTCTATTTTCTGATTTGAAATCCTACTACGGCGCTTCATGCGGCTGCTGCACAATATAAGCAGCCTATGAATATTCGATGAGCCCATCCTGATGAAAGTGTTAAACCCCATCCCTCACACGGAAACAAACACGGTGGTATTGTTACTCAGAGGAAAACAGCCAGAGTTAGGCAAGAAATGGCAGCTGCAATTCATTTGCGGGACTCAGCAGTGGATTAGTACTGTGGGGTCAACGCTGATAACCAGGTTCATGGCACCAGGGGCACAGATATCCTGGCACTTATTTACAGGAATGACACATTCCTCCCCTTCTTGCTGTCAGACTTTGGCAGTGGATATTTTATTTTATTTTATTAAGATTTATTTATTTATACAAGCACTGGGGACAGTCAGAAGCGCAGGAGGGTGAGAGGATTCACCAGAGCCAGAGCGGGGAGCAGAGCAGGCAGAAGGACCGAAGGACACTGCTGAGGGGAGCAGCAGGCACAGCAGGAGGCGTCTGCGCGCCATGTGGGACCCTCGCCGGCGGCCGGGGATCAAACTGGCGCTGCAGAGGCTGCGGGCAGCTTCACAGTCCAGCGCTCAACCGCTGCGCCACCAGGGAGGCCTCTGGCAGTGGATATTTTAAGGTGGCTTTATTTTGTCACCTCCTCTAAGGAAAAGGAACACGCATTTGCTGTTGATGGAAATGTAACTTGGTGCAACCACTATGGAAACCGGCCTGGAAAATCCTCAAAGAAGTTTAAACAGGAATGCCATAGGGCCTAGCAAGACCACAGCCAGGTAGGGACCCAGAGAGTATGAAATCATGGGTGGAAATATTGACGCATTCCTATGTTCACACGAGGGTGGTTCGCGCTGGCCCAGACACGGGGCCAGTCTAAGCGTCCATTGATAGGCAACTGGGGAGAATCGTGGAGGAGACGCTCGGTGGAATACTACTCAGCTGTTAAAAATGACGAATCAGTGGCTTCTGGGACAAAATGGCTGGATCTTGCGGTGTTTATACTGAGAGAAACGAGTCAGAAAACAAGACACTGACCAGACCCCCCACCTGGGGAGTGTGAGCGACCAGAGCACAAGCCACGAGAGATGATTCTCGGGCTCTGTGGCTCCCGGGGGAGGCGCGGGGGAGCGGGCGGCAGGGCTGCGGCCCCGGAGGGTGAGGTGGGGTGAGGGAGGGGGAGCGGCAGGTGCACACAGGGGGTCTCCAGCTGCACCCCAAGGCCAGCAGCTGTGCAGACGAAACCACAGCTTTGAAGATGGCGCGCGTCTCAGCGCAGGCACCTGGGGTCCGGCTGCGCTCGAGGCCCTCGGGCAGCGGCGGCGGCCCGGCCCGGCCCGGCAGTGACCCCACGCGAGGCGCCGGCGCTCGGCCGGGCGGTGCGGGGCGCGGCGGGGAAACGCGTGTCCTCGGCAGACGTCACCCCTCGCCCCAGACACGTGGCGTTTGACGCGCAAATGGAAAATTTCAGCCAGTGGCCGGGGAGCCGCCCCCACCCCGCGGGGCCGCCCGGGCCGGCCGCAGGCTGCGGGGGCGGGGGTTGTGGGGGGCTCGGGGCGCGCGGCGGCTCCGGGGGCGCCTTTCCCTGCGGGCGCCGCCGGGCCCAGCCCGCTCCGGGCCGCGTGTCCCCGCTCGCCCCGCTCCGGGCTCGTCGCGCCAGAGGCCGCGCGAGGGACGCTCCGCCCGCAGCCGGCTGCCCCCGCGCGGGACGCGGGCGGCGGTCACGGGGAGCACACGAGACCCGCGCCCCCAGCTCGGGGAGGCCGGCGTCGCGGCGCGCGGGGCCGGCGGGGACGGGGAGGCGCGGCGGCAGCGGCGTCCAGGCCCGCGTGAGACGGCTGCGGGCTCGGCCCGTCACGCGACCTCTTGGGCTTTGTCTCCGCGCCGAGGCCGCGGACGGGCGGGCGGTGTCCGTGTCGCCCCGTTCACCGCGTCCCGCGCGCCCGGGATCGCCGCCCGCTCGCCCCGCGCCCGGGGGCCCCGCCCCGCGCAGCGCCCCGGCTCCGAGCAGCGCCCGGGCGGGCCCGCGGGCTCCGGCCAGCGAGGCGGGGGAGAGGGACGCGGCGGGGACGCGCGGGACAGGCCGGCCCCGCGTGGCGGCTCCGGGGACGGGGACGAGGCGCGGGCCAGGGCGCGGGCCCGGAGAGCGGGAGGAGGAAACCGCTTCCACGCGGCCCCGGCGGGAGGCGCGGCGGGCACCGGGCCCTGAGCCCGCGGGCTGCGCTGGGGACGCCTCGTCCCGGCGCTTCTCCAGGCCCCGCGCGGGAGACGCGCCCTGTGGGCTCGAGCCTGGGGCTTTCGGCGTCGTTTCCTCCCCAGGGAACGCCCACGCCTCCTTCCTCCCGCGCGGCGGGGGCGTTTCTGGGGGACGCGGACGGCATTTCCAGTGTCTCAGCGCGCCGACGCCCGCTGACCGTCTGGCCGCCTTCCCCGCGCGGGCGAGCGCGTCTCCGCGACGCGGGCGGGGGACCCCGGGGGGGGGGCGCGTCCACGTGCTGCGGCCGGACCGTCAGCCGCAGGGGCGGCGCAGACCGCGGGCGCCGTTCGCTTCGCTTCCCGCCGCGCGCTGCTGCCTCCTGCGGCTGCGGGACCAGACCCTCCCGCGGCGCCACGGCGGCCACTTTCCTCCAAACCCAAATCTGACTCTGAAAATGTCCGCCGGCGCGGGGCGTTCACTGACCCCCGCCCGCCCGCCCTGCCCGCCCGCGAGGACGCGCGTGTCTGTGCTGCCCCTGGCCCGGCCGGCCGTCGGGGGAGCGCACGCGGGGCCGGGCCCCCCCGGCGCAAGGAGGCCCCGTGGGAAACGCCATTAGGCCCCTGAGGACCGTGACGGGGCAGGATTTATTCAGCTCAAGTGACTTTAAGTGAAATTTGCACGCGCACTAGTGACTGTCTCGCGTTTAATAAAAACAGTCACGGTCGTCTCCACAGCAAGACCAGTTAGAAGCGACGGCGGCTGAGGCGCCGCGCCCGGCCCTGACAGCCCGTCCTCCCTGTGGTGCCTCCCGCGTGTCACCAGATGCCGGTGACACGGGCCCGCTCTCCACGAAGCGACGACCGTCCTGGGCTCCAGGCATCCGGTCGCGAAGGGAAAGCTTCCCGCGTGAAGGACGCGGTCTTGACTCTCCTGCCTGAGGGAAAGGCGCTTAGACGGCTCGCGACGGGCGTCCAGCTCCAGCCCCAGGCCGCGGCGGAGAGGCCGTTCCCAGGCCGGACGCCCACGTCCCTCCCTCCGCCTCCTCCCAGAGCGGCCCCAGGGAGCGGGAAACCGTGTCAGCGCAGCTCCCCGGCTCCCGCTCCTGGCGAGGCCCGGCCCTGCACTGGGGCCGCCAGGCACTGTCCCCCGCGGAATGAAAACGTTGTTTACTCCTGCTTCGCGGTCTAAACTTGGCAAACGATGTATTTAAAAGCGCAAATACAACATTCACTCTGCGTCTGTTGATCTCCGTGCAGCCGTCACCTGCCATGAAACCTCTCCCACGCGGACACGGGTTTGCATCCACGCACCGACCTCAGCACCACCCAGCAAGACCTGGGCAATCCGAAGTCCTGTCTGTCCACACACCGTCCATACGGAGCAGGATGCCCCCAAATTACGCAACTGTGTTAAAATATTTAAATTCAGACCTATCATGTACCTACCTATTGACCAGCAAGGAATGCAAAATGAATCAAATTACTCTTTAGAGTTTGCTACTGATGTGAGGTTTTCCACATAGGATCTCGTTTCACATTCACAACCCACCCCACAAGGTGCTCCTCGTTAGCTCCGTCTCACATAAAGGAGCCCGAACTCAGAAGGAGCAGGTCGCCGGCGCCAGGTGCCCAGGCAGAGGCGCAGAGACGGGTGTTACCCCAGGATCCGTGTGACTCAAGGCCTGGTCTTCCCACTACACAATGCTGCTTCCTAGAGTGAGTTTAACTGGGTGAAAAGAGCTGACGAGCGCTGAATCAGTCACCTTGCAGAAGTGAGCGGAGAAACATTTTATTTTCTGAAGTGGCTGTCGGGTAAGGAAGCACAGGGACAGCATGACAGGACACAACCCCGGGCCCCTGAGGGCACCTCAAAGAGCATCTACACACATACACACACACGCCCCCACACACACACCCTCTGTACAGTATTAGTAGTGCTTTAAAAAATCAGATCTTTGCTCTAAAAGAATTAACAGTTAATTCTTGGTCATTAAAAATGAACTTTCTAAAATACTGGCAAACCTCATTTTAAGCTCTGTTTTAAAGTACTGATACCAATGAAGTAACATTTTTCTTCTTTGAATCTTTTCTTGTAAAATTATAGTTTTTTCTTTTTCTAAAATAGCAGGAAGTTCCTTCCAGTTTTTAATAAAGATAAAGGGGGCGCCCATGGCCTTGAGCAACCTCAGGGGCGCGCTGTGGGACACAGACGTGTTTCCGCAGCTGCCTGCGGTCATGGCGTCCTCCACCACCGGGACGGAGCCGCAGGAGCAGGCCTCGTAGATCCGGTAGCACTCCGTGTTCACGCCCGCGGGGCACAGCGTGAGGTCGCTCTGCAGCAACGCGTCTTGATAGTTCTTCAGGCTTTCGTTTGTCTCCTGAGGCTGCCACCTAGAAAAGCGGGAGAAACTGTAGTTTTCACTTCATGAAGCATATCTTTGTAAAAGAAAAGATCTTCCTTCCAATGTGCGCTACAGGAAATGGTCAACACACTACAGCGATGACGGGCAGGAAAGGTCAGTAAACTCTCGCCTAGACTGATTTCTAGAAAATAGGGAAGAATCACTGCCGCCATGTTGGTGACGGGCATGATCTGGAAACAGTAAGAAAAATGAAGTCTCAATTTTATAAGCAGGGAAAGGACAGAGGCACGCCAGAGAGCAGAGACTCACGAAAATTCGCTCGCCATCGTGAACCATTGGAGAAACACAAGTGAGCGCTGCCGTGAGGTCGCTGCGCAGAGAACAGGCCAGCTCCCGCCTCCGCCGCACGAGAATCACCCCGTTTCTACAATAAACCGCACCTCACACTCGCCCCAGCCCAGACACGTCGTTCCTCACGCGGCCCTGACCTCTGCTCCCCGCCGCCTGGGCGGGCCGACTCGCACGAGGTCAGCCTGCACCTCCTCAGGCCTGGCTCCGGGTGGCCCACGAACACTTCCCTTGGTCACTGCACAACAGCAAATGCTCTGCTCCTCCTCCCGAGTTATCTCCACTCCCTCTGTCTGCACATTTTTTTAAACAATGGAATTTATTATCTTCTGAACCACAGTGTGTCACTGACTCATCACCTCCGACCAGCCTTCAAATTCCAAGAGGGCATGGACATTGGATCGCTCGCTGCTGGGCCCTTCACCGTTCACACAGCTTCTGGCAAATAGCTGCTCTGGCTATTTGCCAGAAACTGCTTGATAAATACTTGTTGCTTGATAAATATTTGTTGACTGACTAAATACAGTGTGGTTCGCTAATGAAAGAACTGGGCGCTAAGCTTTCTAAAAGAGTATCTGTTAAAATGTAGAACAATTCTAGCTCCGGAAGGACTCTTTGCTTTGCTGACTGCTGTGTGCACATGAAACTCTATTTTTTATTCAAAAACAAAATGAGTGATTGCAGAATTTCTTCCTCTACACCAGGACTACCACGTAAAAAACGAAAGGAAGAGAACCTGACTTAAATCCATCCATCCCTTCCCTCCCCAGCGGCCAGAGAAGACTCTGTGGGAGGCTCCATGTTACACCTGGGCATTCGAGGAAGAGGAGGTGTGACACCTTCCTCGTGTGGCGTCGGGTCCCGAAGGGGGAGGAGGACTGCCTGCCAGTCCTCTGGCCTGCTGAGCCTCTCGGGGGGCCAGGCACCACGATCTCTGGGCCCACCTGACACATTAATGACATTGGCATCTGACCGTCCCCAGGATTTCTTTTCAAGACAGACAAGCGCTAAGGGAGGTTCTCCCCACTGTACACGTCTGCACCCGGTTTCCTCAGAACCATCCCAATCACGACCCGTCTCTAGTGAGTCTGCTCTTGGTGGTGCTGGCAGCGTCTCTGTGGAAACCTGTGCTACCACGTAAGTCAGCTTAGACTGGAGAACAAGATGGATGAATCAAGTCAATGCAGAACTTACTGTTCTCTTGGTGAAACCCAACAAAGTTTATCATTCTGGTATTTTTTCAAAATGTTCATCAGTGCTTGTCTGGATGAATTTTCATAAACGGTTCCTAGGAAATTGCATACGTATGGTCTTTCATTATAGAGCATTGCCCAACTTGCTTCCACCACCGGAAAATTTCTGTAGCTATAAAAATAAGCGCATGTTAGTTAACAACGTATGACAATAGCACTGGCAAAATCTTCCTGATTCAAAAGTGCAAGTCCTAGAGTTTAGTCTAGAAACACATGATGGTATTTTGTACTTACGTGGCTACTCCTAGCGGCCACTGGAAAACATCCACGCCGTTAACCCAGGGGCTGTCGTATATGAGGAAAAGCAGCTCCACAAAGCCTCCGTTTCTTTGGAGGAACTGGCTTATCCATTCATTATTACACTGTTCATTTCCAAGCAAAACAACAGCAACATGCTGCAGTTTTTGAGTTTGTACTAAATTTTGTACATAAAGCAGCCACTGGGTGGCATAAAAGACCTTTGCTTTCTCTCGTCCATTTAACACGAGAACCACGTTGTCCACGTCAATGGAGAAGTATCCCGGGGCCACAGCAGGGCCTGTGATGAAACTGTGAAAAAGAAAATCGTCACTGTTAAGTGAGTTCTCGATATGATGACTCACGTGCTAGTGAAGAGTCTGGAAAATGCCCTGATAAAGAACACGTGCACAAACTAAGCAGTTCGCAGGGCTCTCAGTCATTGATTTCTGTATCATTTTTTGGTTTGTAAATTATTTCAGAAAATTCATTTTCATAAAAAAGGTATACCAAACACACGGCTGGTCCTTGCACTTGAATAGCTGCTGCGATTCCCCCTGCTCTGTGGCCAGCATAACTCCTGCCTCCCTCATTCAGCTTGTGAAGGAACAGGACTCCTGCAACCCTAGCACGGCTGGAGTGGGAGAACAGGCATGGGACAGAGGGGCTGTATTGTCTCTGTGAAACCTGCATGGATCCAAGGTCAAAATGCAGTGTCAGTAACCATGAATGTCATCTCCTAAACTTTCATCTCCGTGATGAGTAGTAAGCTCGTTAACAACATCTGGAAATTCTAAAAAAAGGATCAGACATATTTTATTCTATCATGATCTACAGAAGTTTAACTTTTTCATAACTAGAAGATGCTCACTGAAAATATCGTAAGCGAACTTGGATAACAGTGACTTAAGTCATTTAGCATCAGCTCTTGTTCATCCACCGGGCAGACACTAAATGGATGATGATAAAGCCTATGCTGGGACATGAGAGCATTCTGAAGGCAGATTTTGGGGGGACGAGCAAAGGCCATGGTGAGCAGAGTAAGCTTCCCTCCGGGAGGTTAAAAATAAAGTTGCCCTGTGACATTAAACTGTAAATCAACACATGATGGATATGAGCAGAGAAATGCCAAATTCCTTCAGGAGACAGGTGGACCCAGACTGGATGGCCATCGAACTGACCATATCAATACAAAGAATGTATAATAAGGTAGTTGTCGGGCTGCACATGGTGGAGAGGCAACAGACAATGGAAACACAGGACAAAGAAGAACTGAAGGGAAAGAATGCAGTAGTGATTAAAGTAACAGTGAGGCTAAAAACCCGCCCCACTGTTAGAGTGGTTTCTGTGTGTCAGGTACAGTTGGGAGTGTTGTACATCTACCGAGGATTTAATCTTCAAAGCAATCCTGTGAAATAGGAAAGATTATCTGCTGTCTTTTAATTTAGGGAAATGCAGGCATAAAGTTAAGAGATGTTTGCAGTCTGACAGCGAGGGAAAGGTGGAATATGAACCAAGACAGTGACTCCAGAGTGTACGCTCTGAACAGCACCGTCACTGGCTACACAGCTCAGAGGTAACAGGCTTCATCAGCAGGCTCGAGGTCAGAGTCCTGTGCACGCACTCATACCCCGAGCACAGGCTATGACTGATGCTGGTTCAGTGCTGAACCACGAGTCATTCTTCATTTATAAATGAAGTACTTCTACTTTATAACAAACTGTTAAGCCAAAAAGAACCAGGACCTAATGATTTGGGAAATTCTTGTTCTACTCAGAAGCACTACCTATAGGCTAACTCCCATGTTTTGATTCTACATTTAATCAAACAACCCTCAGATAATTGGGTATCATTATAGTCTCCCTATATGGAAAAAACTTGCTGGTCAAGACAAGAATGTGGACTGACTGATAGTTCTACTTCCATTCTCTGTTATTTACTTGGTATTTGGGGTTACGTCCTTTGGACTGAAGAGTTGATAAGAATCAGCATTCCTGCTCCTGGCTAAACCTGGAATACTAAGGATATTCTTTCTATTTTTGCTTCAGAACAGTGGTGAGGCTAAAATTAAATGATGTAACTTAAAGCACTTTGTAAAGTAAAGGTTTATTTAAATACAATGTAGAGCCTCCCCGGTGGTGCAGTGGGTTCAGCACAGTGCTGTGAAGCTGTGCCTCTGCAGCACTGGTTCTATTCCGGGCCGGCCAGGGAGATACCTGAATGTCGTGGCAGACCTCTCCTGTCTCCCCGCTGCTCCCCTCAGCAGTGTGTTTCAGTGGATCTGCCTGTTCTGTTCCCTGCTCTGTCTCTGATGAATCCTCTCTCCCTCCTGCGCCTCTCACCTGTACCCCAATTCTTGTATAAAAATAAATAAATCTTTAAAAAGCAAACAAAAAATACAATGTATTTATGCTTTTTTACAAATATCCTGATAGTGCTTAAAAACTCTTTCAATATCTTCAAGATATCCATAATGATTGCTGTGGGAAATAAACAGAACACTAGTAGAAACCAAAATCTTTGGTTCACATTTTTATGCCTAACAATATGAAAAAATGCATCCAGTTTTCAAAAGTAATTATTTTTATCTTCATCTCTGTAACTAAATCTAGTAGAAAATAGCATTATTCCATATAGCAAAAATAGCACATTTTTTCCTAAATGAAATGATCATAATTTTATCTGTTTAAAAACCATTGGAAAGGGCCTCCCCTGGTAGCGCGGCGGTTGAGCACTGGGCTGCGAAGCTGCCCGCAGCCTCTGTAGTGCCGGTTCGATCCCCGGCTGCTGGCAAGGGTCCCACATGGTGCACAGACCTCTCCTGCCCCACCCGCTGCTCCCCTCAGCAGTGTTCTTCATCAGTCTACCTGTTCTGTTCCCCGCTCTGGCTCTGGTGGATTTTCTCACCCTCTCACGCTTCTGACTGTACCCAATGCTTGTATAAATAAATAAATAAATCTTTAAAAAAAAAAAAAACCACCTTTGGAAAATATGTAGTCATAGAAAAAAGTCTTATAAAAAGCTCCAATAAAAGTCTTAACAATATCTCAGTTTTACTGAATCTAAAAAAGAATTTCTGAGTATTGCATTAAGATAGTAATCTATGCCACCAAATCATGATAGCATTCATTTGTGAAATGTAGTAATAAAAATTTCAAAACTCAAAGCAATAGCTTTGATAGCATTTGATTATTATAAGAATACGTGAATATGACTACCGTATGAAAGAGAAAAACAAAATTGCTTTTAACTTTACATTATTCCTCAAATACAGAATAGTGAATGCTTATCAACAATCAAGTGTTACAAAATTTGAAGCATAAACTTTTCTATGTAATTAGAAGTGTTTTGATAAAAATGAGGCAGATACATAATTTGAAGAAAAGTACTTTCCTACATCCAGTTCATAAGAAAGCATTCACAGTACCTATGAATACACATTCATAAGATTTATCTCTCTTTCATTCACAACAGAACATTGTGGAACTATTTTCCATAAATAAAATGCCCTCTTGTTTTCTTCTAGTGTTTACATAAAACTTTGCACAGAAACACAGCAAAGGTTAATGATGACAATTAATACCTGTAATGTGTTCTTCCTACAACTGAATTTCCCTCTCTCCACTGAGCGCTCACATCAGCAGGATCAAGAACACCTTCAAAAATATGCTCCCAGAGATACAAACCTGGTAATTAAAGAAACAAAGACAAAAACATTTACTTGTCACGGGACCTTTACTATCTATCCTATGCCGAAATGTGGCACATTACAATGGAAGCTCACCATTTAGCACTGTTTCTACTTTATAACAAACTGTTAAGCCAAAAAGAACCAGGACCTGATGATTTGGGAAATTCTTGTCCTACTACTCAGACTGCAAGAGGTGAAATTAAGAGGTTCACTGTCAGGAAAGCATGCTCGGAGGGAAGACCAAGGGTGCAGCTGGCTGTTCTTTGACTAAGGCTTCAGAGGGATGAAAGGTCCTACGGCCCAGCTACATGGAGGGTTCTCTGAAGATATCAGGTGTGCTGTTTTTGGTCTCCCTCAGCTATCACAGCAGCAGCCAGAAGCAAAGGCCCAGGGAAGATCTGTGGAGGCGCTTGTGGAGAAGAGAGGGTCCTTGTGATACAGAGGGCAGGTGTGCTTGGCTGCTGGGAAGGTTCTATCAGCAGAGGCACCGCTAGCATGGAGTAAAGAGACAGAGAAGATGTGTATTAAAAGAGAGCAGCTGGATTTCAAAATACTGCCAGCGGGAAGAGGCCGGCCAGACCATGGGCTGCAGACGCAAGCGACCCTGCACGGGACAGGAAGGGTGACGCCGGGGCCAAGCTGCGTTCCGAGCTGCAGATTATGTCAAGACCTTGAAACCTGATAGTTTGGCTGGATTTCAAAACCACTTGAACCAGTGATTCCATTTTCTCCCTTTGGAATGGGAACGTCCTGTCACTGGGCTTGGGCACAGGTTAATCAACACAGTGTTTGATGAAACTCATCTGGCCACACTGTGCTAACCACATTTAAAAGATATGGAAACATGAAAGCCCAGAAAGATATAGGTCTAATTAAAAACTACAATGAGGAAAGAGGAAGTTAAAGGAAAAAAAGAATACCAGATACTTTAGAGAGAAAAAAATGCTAGAAGTTGATCATTGGAGACTGGAGTCTGGGTGACTGCAATGTAGAGGCCAGTGTCATCTTCACGGATGTATATTTATGTTCATGTAAATGTGCACGAATTTATGAAACACCAGGGGCCATGCATTATCCTCAGCTTACCCAGCACTTTCTCAATTAGTACTTTGCATTTAAATTACTTACTGTACATAAATCCAACTCAAGTTTAAAGGCCAATTAAAGCTCCTTTTCAGTCACGAAATCCTTGGACACCCAACCTTTGCTGAGGGTCCCCTTCTCTAGCTGAACATAACATATACCTGGAAACACAAGAATTTCCCGATACTTCTGCGGGCAACCAAGTTTAATCACCTACATGTCACATCTCCGTCCAGCACATCTGCAGTGCACACTGTCCTATCACAGGCTCTGAGAAGTCTGCAGCGAAGACCCTCGGTCGGCTCAATGTTTCCCAAATGTGTTTTTCCCATCATGGGTGGGGCCACGTCTTATGCTTGTGCATTAACTATCCAGCAATTACATAGCTTCATGAAAATTCAGTCGACACAGCACTTCAACATGAGCCCGACACAACCACTGTCCATGCAGCGCTGCCCTGCTGAGACCAGCAACGGCTGTGAGGGATGCACGAGTGCTGCGCGTGTTTACAGGGGTGTTGTGTAACGTAAGAGAATAGAGGAGGGGAAAAAACGCCTGATGCCTTAACGCACAAATGCTGAAATACACTATCCATCTATGGAATGAATGGATTTGAAGCTGCTTTTTCCATGTCTGGCGCTACAGTCAACTCACCGATGGCAGCTTTGCCCCAGATCTGCACGCGCAAGTCCGGTTTTCCTCTCGTGGACTTATTTATATGGAGACTAGTCTTAAACCGGTGTTGTTGCTCATTTTTCTCGTCGCCTTCCCAAGGGTTCCATTCTTCCCCGCCCAGCGTGGACTGTCCTGTGTTTTAAGAGAGTGACAGTGTTGCAGGCAGAGCCGCGGCTGCAGAGAAACTCAAGACATTTAAGAACGTCGGGGGCTCCCGCTGGCGCCCACCTTCAATTCTGTCCGAGGAGTAAAACAACTGACCTGGGCTGGCGACCCTCACAGCCGGAGGGGAGGGCCTGAGAGTTTAATGTTCGCTGGGCCTTTATTTCGAGAGAGCTTAGACAAAAACGCGGCGGAGACGAAAGTACAGTCTCTTCCCGGCAAACCTAGCATGTGGGAGCAGGGCCCGGGTGCGCGCTCCGAGCTGGATGGTGACAGCGATGCCCGCCTCCCGGGCCCGCCTGCGCCTGGGGGCAGGTGTGACCCGGCGCCCGCGGACCTGACAGGGCGGGCGTCGGGGACGCTGAGCGGTGAGACGGGCGCCCGTCAGGACTGTCAGCCCCGTCAGGACCGTCAGGCCCGTCAGGCCCGTCAGCCCCGTCAGGACCGTCCGGACCTTCAGGGCCGCCAGCCCCGTCAGCCCTGTCAGGCCCGTCAGGCCCGTTAGGACCGCCAGCCCCGTCAGGACCGGTAGGACCGTCAGGCCCGTCAGCCCGTCAGGCCCGTCAGGACCGCGGGCCCCGGGCGGCCGTGGGGACCGCGCGCGCGGCCGGGGCGCCGGGGCACGGCCGAGTCCCGGGAAGAGCGCCCCGGTCGGGCCACCCGCGGCTGCGCGACCCGCCCCCGCCCCGCCCCCGCCCCGCCCCGCCCGGCGTCCGGCACGGAGCGTCGCCCGCGTCCTACCTCGGCCGCGCCGCGCCAGCTCCCGCTCCCGCGCCGGGAACGCGCCCGCCCTCGGGCCGCGCGGAGACGCGGGGGGCGCCCGGCGGCCGTGCCCGAGGAAGACGCGGTAGGCGGCGTAGAGCGAGAAGAGGCAGTACAGCGCGGCGAGCAGCGAGCACAGCCGCCGCCGCGTCAGCCGCATCCCAGGCGGCCTCCGGGGCCGCGCGGCCGACACCCGGCCCGGAAACCGTCGCTCGGCGCGGCCCGGCGTCCGGCGCAGGCCCCGCCCCGCCCCAAGCCACCGCCCCGCCCCAAGCCACCGCCCGCTCTCCAGGCCCCGCCCCCTGCCCCGCCCCCGCGCCGCCGCCCGCTCTCCAGGCCCCGCCCCGCCCCCAGCCCCGCCCCCGCGCCGCCGCCCGCTCTCCAGTCCAGGCCCCGGCCTCAGACCCGCCCATCACGTCACGGCCCAGCTGAGGCCGCGTCCTTAGCTTCGCCCGCCCAGCTCAGGCCCCGCCCCCAGATCCTCCCAGATCCCGCCCCGCCCGCCCCGGCCCCGCCCCCGGGCTGCCCCCAGCCCCGCCCCCGCGCCTCCAACCGCTCTCCAGGCCCCGTCCGGCTCGGGCCCCGCCCTCAACCCCGCCCCGCCCCAAGCCCCGCCCTCACCCCGCCCCAGCGCCTCCGCCCGCCAGCCCGGGCCCAGCTCAGGCCCCGCCCTCAGCCCCGCCCCACCCAAAGGCCCCGCCCCCAGACCGCCCACCAGCCCCGCCCCACCCGGGCCCCTCCCCACCTAGGCCCCGCCCCGCCCGGGCCCCGCCCCACCCAGGCCCCTCCCCACCTAGGCCCCGCCCCGCCCCGCCCCCGCCCCACCCAGGCCCCGCCCCTGGGATGGCCTTGGGGTTCCCTCCCCCGCGCGTCCCGGACCCCCGCGGGGCGACCGCCGCTCGGCCCCGCCTCCTCCGGCGCGCGCCGCGGTCCGGCCACCGAAGACGAGAGGCCTCGCGGCCCGTCAGCACCGCTGCGGACCGGGCCGGACCGGGTCAATTTGGGCTCAACACGGTTTTTCGAGGAAGAAACGGAAACATCTCATAAAACCTCACTGTGCGCCCAGTGGTGCCGCGCCGCTCCCCAAATTTATTACGTTTTACTCATTTCCGTAACGATATAATTTAGGGGGCACATGTCACACCTCGCAGGTTGCAGCCCCACTGCGTGCGCCCCGTGACCCAGCGGGCCCCGCTCAGCCCGCGCAGCCCGGGGCTCCCCACCCCCACCGGGGCGCCTCCCGGGGTCCACGTACCCCCACCCGGCCGCGCCTCCCGGGGTCCACGTACCCCCACCCGGGGCGCCTCCCGGGGTCCACGTACCCCCACCCGGGCGCGCCTCCCGGGGTCCACGTACCCCGCACGCGGCCGCGCCTCCCGGGGTCCACGTACCCCGCACCCGGCCGCGCCTCCCGGGGTCCACGTACCCCCACCCGGCCGCGCCTCCCGGGGTCCACGTACCCCCACCCGGGGCGCCTCCCGGGGTCCACGTACCCCCACCCGGGGCGCCTCCCGGGGTCCACGTACCCCGCACCCGGCTGCGCCTCCCGGGGTCCACGTACCCCGCACCCGGCCGCGCCTCCCGGGGTCCACGTACCCGGCCAGGGTATTTCCGGGGGGCAGCTGTTGACCAGCTTCCCCGGGTCCAGCGCGACCTCCGGGGCTGAGCGCGCGCTCCCCACGCGCGGGCCGCGGCCTCCGGCCTGGCCTGTCCCCCGGGCGTGCGGCAGGCGGACCCCTGGACACCAGCGCCCTGGGACGGAATCTGCCCATGGAGGGGGCGGGAAGAGAGCGTCCTGCGCCCCCATCCCGCGGCCTGTCCGCTGCGGCGCCCAGACGCGCCCGGTCCCTCCCCGGCGGCCCAGCCCCCCCAGGCGTCGGCCCGGCCCGGCCTGTCCCGCGCGCCCCCGCGCGCCTCAGCTGCCCGGGAGCCCCGCTGGGTCCCCCGGGAGCGCCTGCCCCGGGCAGGGCCTTGGCCGTCGCCCGCCAGGAGCCCCTGCGCTGCCCCGGCGTCCTGTGTCCACGTGCTGCCCCCGGGCGTCCTGTGTCCACGCGCTGCCCCCGCGTCCTGTGTCCACGAGCTCTGCCCCCGCGTCCTGTGTCCACGCGCTGCCCCCGCGTCCTGTGTCCACGCGCTGCCCCCGCGTCCTGTGTCCACGAGCTCTGCCCCCGCGTCCTGTGTCCACGCGCTGCCCCCGGCGTCCTGTGTCCACGCGCTGCGCCCGGCGTCCTGTGTCCACGAGCTCTGCCCCCGCGTCCTGTGTCCACGCGCGCTGCCCCCGGCGTCCTGTGTCCACGCGCTGCGCCCGGCGTCCTGTGTCCACGAGCTCTGCCCCCGCGTCCTGTGTCCACGCGCTGCCCCCGCGTCCTGTGTCCACGCGCTGCGCCCGGCGTCCTGTGTCCACGAGCTCTGCCCCCGCGTCCTGTGTCCACGCGCTGCCCCCGGCGTCCTGTGTCCACGCGCTGCGCCCAGCGTCCTGTGTCCACGAGCTCTGCCCCCGCGTCCTGTGTCCACGAGCTCTGCCCCCGCGTCCTGTGTCCACGAGCTCTGCCCCCGCGTCCTGTGTCCACGCGCTGCCCCCGCGTTCTGTGTCCACGCGCGCTGCCCCGGCGTCCTGTGTCCACGCGCTGCGCCCGGCGTCCTGTGTCAACGTGCTGCGCCCGGCGTCCTGTGTCCACGCGCGCTGCCCCCGCGTCCTGTGTCCACGCGCGCTGCCCCCGGGGTGGCCTCCGGGCCGCAGGAGGGACCGCGCGGCCGGAGCCGTCGAGCGCAGCCGGGGCGGCGACCGCCGCGAGGGCCGCGCCTGCTGGGAGGCCGCTGGTCTGGAGCCCCGTCATCCTGAGCCGCGGGGTCCCTACTGCTGCGGCCTCGCGGGCGGGCGGGGGACCCCTGCGGGGCGCCGCGGGGACTGGACGAGAAGCCGCGCGTCAGAGCCGCCTGCGATGGACCCGCCACTGACCGACCTGAGCACCAGCGACCCGGGACCCCCCGGGCAGGGGCAGCGCCTCCCGCCTTCTCCTTGGAACGCGGGTCCTGCCCGGCGACCCCGCAGACGCGCCTTCCGAGGACTCAGGCTGGAGTGAGGGGTGAGCTGGGCCAGCTTCACAGCGCGGCGCTCAGCTGCCTGCGCCACCACGGAGGCCCCAATTACCACATTTTAAATGGCTGGAACATCCAGGTAGAACCAAATGATTTTTTTTTTCCCCTTAGGCAGATTTGGTGAAGGTGTTTGGCTCTCCCATAAACTTATATTTGTAGGCAATAAAAAGTCAAGTTAGATTCCTGTACAGAAAGCGAAGGCCTGAGAGGGGAGTCTAAACTGACATTTAAAGGGAGCATAAAGAGGGGCTTGCAAGGAAGACAGCTATTTTTAACATCTTTATTATTATTTTATGAAAATCACGACAGGTTCTGATTCTAAAATGTCACATCATAATTTCTATTTTGTAAGACTGATGCTTTCAGTGCTGTGAGTGAAGCTACCGTTAATGCTCTCTTCTTCACAAAGCAGCACAAATGCCTGTCATTTTCTAGACAGAACCATATCCGATTGGTCACAACCATTTAGTTCCTAAATAGTTCTCCAATACTTTCTCCTTCCTTCCACTGCTCCCCGCTACTCCCCCTGGTCCCAGCCACCATTATCTTTTATTTGATCAACTACAGCGGCCTCCTAAATTGTCTCTGTATCCACTGGACACCGCCAGGAATCCGTTCTTCGCAACGTAAACACACAACTGCTTTGCACCAGCAAATCCAAACGGTCACCTTCCTTCTTGAGATTTTCTGTGGTTCTCCTTCCTCTGAAGAGAGGCTCGTCAACAAGGCCTATCCACAAGCCGCACGTGTCGCCTCTCACCCTGTTCTCTGCCCTCTAGTCACAAGGGTTTGAGTTTCCTCAAGCTCACGGCCTCCGTCCCGTGAGTGGCCTTGGCTCGTGCTGCTTGCTCGGCCTAGAACCATCCACCACATTTCAAATTTCAGTTCAAATGTGACTTCTCCCAGTCCCCTTCCAACTCTGCTCACCCACGACTTCTTTTTTATTATGCTTTTGAAAGTTGTAACTTTGTGCGGTTAATGCCTGTTTTCATGGACTCAAGTTTCATCAGCTAAGACTGTGCTGCCCTTTCTAGTCACTGAACTTACTTCGTAGAGCTCAAGCTCCACCTCTCCTGTCCTCTAATCCGCGACTGGACAAGTTGCTGCCAGGAGCAGGCCCTTTCCAGCAGGCCCTTTCCATTCCCTTGTCCTCGCTAGCAGGGGGCACATTCCCTCGCCTCCCTCAGCGCGGGCGGCACCATGTTGTTGAGTTCTGGAAGTGGACCACGAGCAGGAGTTGATGTGACACAGACCTAGAGGCTCTGGAATATGTTAATTTTAGAAAATGGAACGAGTCTCAATTCCTGCGTGACCTGGTGGAAGCTTGTTTAACCAATGTGCTTGCGCTGGAATTTGATTTGAGGTAGATATAAACATTGAAGGTTAAGCTACAAGGATTTGTTTATTAGAGCAGATGTATTACTTTAAACAAAATAGTACAATATGTGCTACATCTCCTTCAGAAAATGGGGGCAAATAATGTCTATTGCATAAGGCTTTTGTGGGAATGACAACAATCGCGCGCGATGCCTTGCATGCGGTAGCTGCTCAGTGGATGTCATTGCTGATGTTATCGTTATCACTCGATGCTAACTCACCTGCTCCCTGGGAAATGTGTTCTTCTGTATCCTCTGTTACTTCTTATGCTCACAGTGACATTTTGGATAGAACTGGAATGTTTTCTCTCTGTTACTGTTGCTCATGAGGGTTTTAAAGTTTAAGGCTTAATAAGGTTTTGAAGGGATTTAAAGAGACTTCTCTATTGACAGAGCCCGTTGAAGGACGTTTCGATAATGCTATAGTAATTTAATTCACATAAGCCTCTCCTACCTCCCCAAAATAGTTACTTTTTTAAAAATATAATTTCTGAGTTCTGGTATGGAATTAAAGGCCACCAAAGGATGAATTAATTAATCCTCCTTGGAAACATCGTCCAGTGACTGAGCCCATTTGTGTGGTTTTAGAAATTAGTTATCTGCCGTAGACCAGCTCAGCGGTGGTGGGAGATCGAGACAATCTCAGGGTTGAGTGAGAACGAGCAAAAGGTGGTCGAAAGAATTA